AGGGTTTCATCTCTTGCTGCCACACTGAGGGCTCCAACTTCCCACTTGCGTGGAACTTTTTGCAACCCAGCCAGAAACTCATTGCACAGACAATTGCAGGCGTGTGCCATCCTGCTCCTGGAGTCAGTTAAGCCTTGGGACCTGCAGGCAGCGTTAGCCACTGGTGGGCAAAGTCATCCAGACTAAATCCAGAAACTCCATCTCTCATTTCACATGGGAGATGAGCACAGGCTGTCGGCTCAAACTCGTGTCTGGAACTGAAATCCCTGAATGAACATACCTTGGGCTCCTGTTTAGACCTTTAATGGGAGAGAACACGGTTCTTGCCAGCCCAGTTGCAAAAAGAGGAAGGTAACTGGCTTCTCATGCTGCCAGGATGCTGCAGCACATGGCGATGCATGATTACCAAGGGTCTCTGTGACCTGTGGATCATATGAAAAACAATGGAAATTATTAGGATCAGGGATGATTTAGAAGTCTGGGCAAGGACCGAGTTACTTCTGCTGGTGGAAAATACTGCGGTTCAATGCAACTGGTTGAAAGACAAGAAGAGAAGCTCTTAGTCCCTGGGAAATCAGCTGTGTCTGCCTGTGGCTGGCGTATGACCTACAGCGTTTGTATTGCCGTTTAATAGAGAATCCATTCACTTAGAGGAGTTTTTATTTAGAGGTGAAATCTTGTCATGCTTGCCATAAGATGGAGAGAAACGCTGGAGGAGTGGCAACAGTCTCTGACCATGCTGGTTACATGTCTTCCTCACCCCATGGCCTGGGAAAAACTTGAATTGAGACTCCGTTGGGTTCCTTGAAGCACTATGCATCTTGGCTGGTTGCAGGATGGAGCTGCTGCGGTGAGGAGATGCAAGCAGGTCTCATAGCTGAGGGAGCACTGAACACAGTCAGCTGTAAATGCAGTCAGGAACAAGTTATGTCAGTGCTCGTTCCACTGGATGTTGTTAAGGCCCTGGATAGAAAGCACACAGCTTGCTACTAATGCTGTCAAAAAAGGATCACTTGTATGCAAGGAACTGCTTGCATCCCAGCTCACCATTGTGCAATGCACACCATCTCCTGTGTCATCTCTGGCTTTGATCTAGGGATAGGTCCTGACAGCCCTTACTGATACACAATTTGTTGGACATCCGAGATGTGTCACCTGTGTGACTGTGAGCAGAAATAAGTCCCCAGACTTTGAAATAAACACATTTGAGGTTCTGTGAAGAGCAGACCTAACTGAATAGTGTTGCTTTGGATTGAGAAATGAACCAGGGGGATGAAGGCAAGTGGAACTTGTACAGTACCTTGGTTTTGGTTTGGCATCTCACAAACTTTAGCTCACCTAGGGAAGGTGCTCCAGGATCCAAGGGACAGGGACCAGGGAACATCTAGGGATCTGCACACCAGAAAAAATAGAGGATGGCTGATGGGTGGTATTCATGAGTGGATAGGTGCTAATGTGGCAGAGGAGATGTAGTGATGACAAATGCAAAATAATGCATGCAAGGAAAATGAACTGTAATCATGCATTTACACTGATAGGTCCTAATTGCTCTGTTATCACTCACAGAAGAGCTCTTGGAGTTGTTGCAGAGAGTTCTCAGGAACAGCAGTGTGGTACTCGACTGGAGGAAGAAAGGCAAATTGAGCGTTACAAATGGGTATGGAAAAATCAGGAAGCAGAAGTTGAACAATCATTGTATCAGTTCAGATCTACGGTGTGCCTGTATCTTGCATGCTGAACATGGGTTACCCCGTCTCAGAAGGCTGTAGGTGACCTAGAAAAGGTACAAGACATATGCAACTGCTTCCATACGTGAACAGAGGAAATAGATTAGGGCTCTTCCTTTTGGAAAAGAGACAGTGTAGGGATAGACGTGATAGAAGCCTATAAAATCATGAATAGTGTGCAGACGGTTAATAGGGAATGATTGTTCACTGTCCCTCGTTATCAAAGAGCTAAAGGTAATCGAGTGAGGTGGCTTTTAATTTGCTACTTGCTAAATAAAAAGAATTCCAATGACTTCTAGGATCTGAGGTGGAAGGCACCTGGGATTTCTTTAAGATAATAGAACTGGCAGTAGCGTGTGACCCAAGCAAAAGAGAAGAAAAGACCTCCACGACCTGAGTGGATAAAGAGAAAATCACCTCAAGAAATCAATTAGGAGTATGTAGAGAGTCTACAAGTTTTAGAAAAATCAGATCCGTAGAGTCTATGGGAGTAGGATGAGAATTGACCTCAAGGAGACTGGAGGAAAGACCCGTAGGTATGTCGTGGTTTAACCAGGCTGGTCGCTAGACACCACGCAGCTGCTCGCTCACCCTCCCTCCTCCCCAGGGGATGGGGAAGAGAATCAAAGGGGAGAAGGAAAGGAGACTTGTGGATTGATGCCCTGTGAGTGATACTGAGCTAGTGATTATCATTCAGGAATGAAATGGTGGAGTTAAGAGTTCTGTGAGTATTTGAGCTCTGTGTTCCCAGAGGCAAAAAAAAACCCTTAACAAACTGAAAACCCAAGCTGAAATGGAATGTTAGGGTTTATTCGGAAGAGAAGAGAGAACAAAACAGAGAAGAATCACAATCTCACCATATAAATACATTCTAAATAAATCTTGAA